GATGTCTGAGATTTGTGAAGAACTAAGTGGTGGAAAGTTTGCTAGTCCAGACATTAGGTACGAGGCAGAAAGGTGAGGTCTACCCGCATGTGCATTTACCCGCTATACTTGTTTCCTTAGCAAGGCGTTCTTTAAGGGATTTCGCGAGAGAGCGAAGACGATATACACTCGAGGAGAAAGTGAAGAGAACCCTGTCCAAGCCTTCACCTCCAAATACACATCAGAAGAATATCGTAAGTTACAAGTTCTAGTGCAGAGCAGGTAAGTTTTCTTCGGTTGAAACCATGCGACAATACTGCAATAGCGGGCCAGGCACAATAAGTTTCTCTTTCCCTTAGAATAATCATGCGCGGTAGAATGAAGTTTTGGGCACTAATAGCGTCCCGAAATAGGTATCTTACCTTGATGCATAGAATTGCCTTTTGTTTGCCTTGCCTTAAATAGAAACCTTAAAAAGTTGCCTTCTAATTATTATCTTGTTTAGGTGAAGAAACTTCCAACCGGCTGGAAGTACTCTTGTAATGCCCTCGAGGTTGGAACTAAAATGAAAGTCCTATGCGTCTACTACGAGTGATTGAAAGTTCCCGCATAATTGCTAAAGAGGCTGCATTGAATTCTGCTGGATATGGTTTTCTCAAATGGCAGAATAAATTTGTCTCAAAGCAGAAATTGTTACGCAGAACTTGTAATTGAAAAGCACGTTCAGCGATTCCTATTAGTCGGTTTTTTACTGAAATGTTGACGATGGTGCCGCGTCAGCAAAAATATGCAAAAAAAGACTCCCCGATATGCCTGAGGTAGTGCCTTCGGCCTCTTGAGCTGTACGAGCACGCAGCTGGAAAATGGCGTCTCTGGACGAGTTTTCGCTCAAAGGTGTTCTTACGTGACATTTCGAGCTCCTGGGCATGGATCCCGTTGCGAAGCTATGTAACGGACAGACGCAGGATTCAAGGGTAAGTGCCCCTTTTTATTTATAGGAAGCTGGAATGTGTGAGGTTACAGTGCCCCGTTGACACTTACAAGGGAATGGTTTGAACTTCCCATGAAACTTCGAATGGAGACCTAGGTACAAAGATGGAGCCGGGACCTCCCAGACCAGATCTGGGAGGTGCCACCGTGGCATCGTGGTAACGGTCTCGCTTTCAAGTCAAACGCACGCGGGTTTGCATCCGGTTGGCGCGAAAATTTTTGCTTCGCTCCCTATAAGAGCTTCAACTCTAATTTTCGAAATTCTTCCGAGTTTACGGCCCAGCAGGGCAAGTAGATCAAGTACATCAAGTATATGACGTACTCGATCTAGTATGGATTTGGTCATATCTGCCCTCTCTGAACAGGTTACCCATTCCACAAAGCTTTCGACCCCCTGAACACGAATATCACATCCTTCGACGAAAAAACGCTCGTCTGGCCAAATTGTGATTCTGGGCAAACTTTGAATTGTTGAGCTCGGAACAATTTCGAATTAGAGTTAAAGCTCTTATAGGGAGCGAAGCATCAATTTTCGCGCCAACCGGATGCAAACCCGAGTTCGTTTGACTTCGAAAGCGAGACCGTTACCACGAGGCCACGGTGGCACTGCCGAGACATCGATCAGCAGCGCTTACGAGCCAAAACTTTTCGCAAATTTTGACCACCCAGATCTCGTCTGGGAGGTCCCCGTAGCACTTTTCTCGGTCCCGTAGCACTTTTAATCTGCATATTCGTAATCAGCATTCGAGGCTCTAGGTCTCCATTCGAAGGTTCCATGGGAAGTTGAAGCCATTCCCTTGTTGGAAACGGATCACGTTCGAGCTGTCCGCATACAGTTGGTGTCTATTCTATACCCATTTTCCCTCATCACTCAGGCCAAAAGGGATATATCCTCTTGCTTGCAGGCATTACTACCTTGTGCGGAAAGGCAGCTCCCTATGCACAATTGATGGTAGAACCAGGGCACGCCATCGTTGTGATCATCACAACGGGGGGAACGTATGTGCCCATGGAGGGGGGGGGTTCGTGAAAGCTATATAGAAGTTTTGGAAGGGACCCAGAAAAGAGCTGATTCATACAGTCTCGAGCGACTTAAAGACACATGGAACGCTCAAACACATTGAGGGTGTATGAGACTATCAGCCCCCTCAGCTGTCGATGTGTCGTGGTCCCCCCGCCTAAAACTGCACGGGGTCATACGGGGCCGTGGGAAAGTCGTGTGGGGAATCCCCAACAGGGGGTCGTATTTGGCCGCCAGGGAGAGGGGGGTCGTAGTGAGTGCGGCAGCCAGTAACGAGCAGCGCAAATTGTCAATGTGCTGAGTCCTGTACGCGAAACTTGCTTTGTAGAGAACTCGGATATGCAAAAAATAGTACAAAACTTTCATTCATCAAACTAATCCGAAATAACTGCAAATATTAATAAGTCGACATTATCTCGTAAGTCCGTTGGTGACTAAACAGTACAACTCAAACTCTGGTTCGCTGCCAATGATATGGCGTGTCCGCGGTCGCGCTTGGCGCTGAGCCAACCTGTTTTTTTCTCGACAAGCGACAGGACTACCATATCGTTCATATCAGACGTTTTCCAGCAGTTGGTCTCCTTTATCGGAGTCAGCGATTGGCGGAGCACGAATCTGGCAGCGTTGACAGGGACATGTTCCATTCATACGCAACGGAAAACACTGTAAACAAGTGCACAGGCTCGCCATGGACCTCCCTGACCTTATAGACACATTTGCTCGCGTGAACAGACATTACGCACAAGTTGCACCATCCCATCACCTCTGCGCGGCCCTCAGTGCGCGGCGCATCCAAAGTTGGCGTGATCGGCGCTAAACGAACCATATCCTGCTCCTGCTCCACCACAGGATACGTTCTACATGCGTTCCTGGCTATTCGAACACGCTCACTTGAAACGGTACACAGGAAACGGGTTTTTCGCGCAGCTGGGAGTGTTCCTCAAGAAATCCCCATAGCGAGATCTCATGAATCCCGAGAGCTTCAGAAACAGTTCAAGAGGTTTTTAGAAAGAGAAAATCTTCAAACACTCGAAACCATTCTCAGATTTGTGAAATGTTGAGTTACAAAAAAAATATATTGATTCAAACCTGTTCGGTTGAAACCACTCCCCAACGAATCCCTATGGCAGATTTCTCTGTGATTTTTGCGACTTCACACAAAAGTATCGTTTTAGTACTTTTAGGAAGGTGCGCAAACCTTCCTCTACACGAGTACGGTCTCCTCTTCCCCACAGGTCCGCTTTTGAGGAAGTTATGGTCCTTCAAAGACACCTAACTCAGCTGGAAATTCTCGCTCCATGGCTAAAATTGCCGAATAATCTCCAGTCACAGCCGCAATTACATGCGCTTCTGCTACCGTACTCCACATAATCGGGGTAATGCAATTTTTACGGCAGTTTGTATAACTGTTACGTACTGAGACAAGCCTAACTTTTTTTAGTCCAATTTAGTATGCAGCACCTTTCATACAAGTTTAAATTTGCATAAGTGGGCGTTCAGGGATTCATTTAAGGCGCAAAAAACCAAACGGCAAAAAGGCGAGGGGGGGGGTCGCTAGCCGAAACCCAGAAAAAGGGGGGTCGTACAGGCTCGACTAAAATCCCCATCGAATGCTGTGCCCGGGGTCATACGGGGCCGTGGGAAAGTCGTAATTCCTTGCTACACCGCCCTCACGTTTATGCTAACACCATCCGCGCGGCGCGGTCGCGTGCAGCTCTTGGCTTTTTGCCAAGTCCTGTAATTGCGCTTGAAATACAAGTACAACAATATGCGGATAAATTTGAGAAGAATAAGAACCGAAGATACGACGGGACATGGCTTAGCAACTCGAAGAGCAACTGTGGGTGGCTTCTGCAATATCCCTCAGAGGCCGCGCATTCCCACAGAACATGACAATAAAAACGGACAACATGACAATAAAACATGACAATACAAGCAAAACGCAATTTCGTAACATTCGAGGTATTTTTCATGCTTCAAAGTCCTAGAAGGTGATGAAGATAGCAAAGGCTAGAAATGAACAACAACGATGTAGATGTAAATAAAACAAAATTGAAAAAACTAAGGAAACGCAATAAATTAAAATCGCGTGTGCATTTCTGCGATCCGGCTCGAATCCGGCTCTAATGCTATAGAAATACTTCAAACTAACGAGTGGGACGCTTAGCCGTTTTTATTTTGATGTTTTTGTGTGAATGCGCGGACTGCAAGGGATGATTGGCAGAAGCCAGCCACCGTTTCTAGCCCTCGTCATCATCTTCAGTTCTTATTTTGCAGAACCTAAAATGTTATCCGCATGAAAAATTGCGTTGTACTTGTATTCCAAAGCGCAATTACAGGACTTGGCAAAAAGCCAAGAGAGCTGCACGCGACCGCGCCGCGCGGACGGTGTTAGTAAAAACGTGAGTTTGCAAAAAAAAGGGCGGCGTAGCCAAAGAATCACGACTTCCCACGTCCCCTAGCCCTGACCCCGTGCAGAATTTCGGGGGGGGACACGAAGCATCGACAGCTGGGGCGGCTGATCTCATTACACCCTCAATCGTGCTTGAGCGTACATGTAGGTCTTTAACAACAGTTCAAACAACTGTCGCCTAAACCTACACCTGGAAAAAATGCCGGACTCTAAGAACGCAATTTCCTGATGCTGATCAACATTTTAGGTGCTGCAAAACAAAAGCCGAAGATGATGACGAGGGCCAGAACTCAAGAGCAACTGTGCTGCTTCTGCAATATCCCTCGTAGGCCGCCATTTCCACGAAACATGACAATAAAAACTAAGCGTCCCTACGTTAGTTTAATACAAGCAAAACGCAATTAACAATTGAGGTGTTGCTCATGCTTCAGAGTCCGAATAGAGGGTGATGAAGATGACAAAGGATAGAAATGAAGAACAACGAATGCAGATGTAAGATGGAAGATTCTAGGTCTAAAAATACTCATAGATGTCACTCTTTAATCATAATCAACAGAATTCATTAAGATGCTACGTCCCCAACGAGTAATGGAACTAGGCGTGAGGTTACTGTAGATCCGCAGTGTACGCAATGGCACGCAGCCGCAGCTGTGCGAAACAATGGCGCCTGCATGCTAGTTGTTCGCGGTCAGCCGCACGCGAGGAGTGCAATTCCCACGCTAATACAAGCGCATTGGTGCGCGCTATTTTACGACCTGGAGCCAATTTCAAGCCAAACACTCGAAAAGTACCCCTCTTTGAACACCATAACTTCGTTGAAAGTAAAACTCTCGGAGAGGGGGAAGTGGGAATGAGTAGAGCTAGGTTGGCTCTTGTTACCTGGATTGAACGATTTCTGAAACATTTCCTTTCTAGAAAGTTTCACCGTTGTGATCCTCTTGTGATCCTCTTGTGATCATGGGGGGCCAACCACAAGTCGCCACGCTTTGGACATCCATGGCAGGCTTCATACACGGCCAAAAAAAGAGCTGTGCCAGACGCATGAAGCTTTCTACTTTCCAGCACAACTTTCATTTTATCGCTAGGCCTGCTATTCGAAAAATTTCCCCGTTGTGATCATAAAAAACCACTCCCCACGGCCCGAAAAATCAACCCCTCCGACGCCAGAAAA